AGGCAAGACTTGAACCCAGGTCTTCTTGCCTCAAAGTCCAGTATTGTATCTACCATACGATGCTGCCTCTCTTTTGGGGTCTATTAATGCAGCCCCTTTGAAAGATGGACTTACTAAAATCTTGTTGCTGACTATTTCCAGTCTGAGGGTTTTTTCCTATCCATTTTCTGATCTCTCCAGAAGAGGTTTTTTGAGAAAGCGGTAAGATAGAAAACAAAGTTCTTCTGTGTTTGTGGCCATCATTAATTGTCATGAGTTCCCAACCTGGCTCTGTTATTTATTAAAGGAGTGAAAGTGGGCAAAATCACTTCCACGTGACACAATGAAAAGAACGCTGGATTTTCTGTCATATGCCGGTCCTGAGTCTACCACTTACTGCTTGTCTCCTCTGTTTAAAAAAAAAAAAAAAGAAGAGGTAGGCCTAGATGAGTTCTATGGCTGCTTCTGGCTTTGAATCCATGATACCATCACGAACTTGCTTATCCCTACTCTCCTTTGCGGCTCAGTCTTGGTTCGTTTCCTTCAGTCTTGGCTCTGCCAGAGTTGGCCTACATCACCTCTTAGGTCTCTTCCAGCTCTAGGATACAACAGTCCATGCAGAGTTCCCATAAACAATAGCCTTTAGTCATTGTCATGGGCCATCACTGAAAACAACAACCAAGAAACCACAAACAAAACAACAACAAGAACAACAAAAAGGCTCCTTCTTGTCCTTGGTCCCTTCCCCTGGCCCACATAAGAAGGGGGCATGCACTCACTTCTTGAGTCCTGTGCTCACTCTCTATTCTCCCGACTTGTCTCCTATACCTGGGCCCATACCTCAGGGTCAGCCACTCCACACCATTTTCCTGAGGACCCAATAAGTGAAGAACATTGTCCTGTAAGGTCAGGAGAGAGGCAAAGGCCAGAGATAGGCATCCCTGAGGGTTAAATGTCACCCTGGCCCTGAAAAGCCAGGATTTCTGAAATTAGGAAAGGCTGCAGCCAGGCTTGCTAGAAAAGCATACTGAATTTAGTTGGAAAAGCTTCCACTCCACTAGCAGAACACACTTGTAGAGTGTTCCCACAAATCTAGGTAGATAAATGCCAGCAGCACAGCCTTTTTTTTTTTCTGAAATGAAAAATCAACTATCATCTCCAATTACAGCTATTGGCTTTCCCAAGATGATAAAATTCTCTAATAAGATCCCTTTTTACTGGGTTTTAAGAGTGAGACCACTTGGAAGACTGAGATTTAGTCACTGATGCAAATCTGGGGTCATATTGTTGGGTGGTGATCAGAGTTTATGAGGTATCAGAATCCACCTAATTGAGTACTGATACTATATACCTGTCTTGGAAGTTTCAAAAAATCGGAAGTCTTTAGGGCTTTCCTAATGAAAAAAAAAATGCTTAAAGAAAGCTCAGTAAGAAGAGAAATGAATAGAAGTGGAGATAGAATCATTGCCTGAAATCACAAAATCACCATCCAGGGTCAAAAGCTGATTCTAGCTGGTAGAGTTGATAAGCTGTAGCATTTGGAAAATCAAGGTTACTGAGGAGACAACGTCAAAGGCTTTGTAATGAGGGTGGGGAGGGAGGTGCTGAGGATGAGATAATGCAGAAGCAAATGTCAGTGGCTGATGATTCAGTAACATTTGTGTTGGGATTTTAATTTTTCACATGTGGTGGGAATATTTGTCGAGTAACAACTGTACTTTGTAGTTCCACAGAATAAAAGCAAAAGATTCTTTGAGAAATTTAGAAACTAAGGCAGGATCACAACTGTGCTGAGGTATTTATTTGAGTGTATTACTCTGGGGAGTCTGGACCTCATCTGGAAGTCTCTTGTTTTCTCCTTACTCCAGTGACTGACGAGGTGATGAGAGAGGGGAGGAGTAGTGGGGAAGCTGCTTCAGGATAGCACCCCTTCCTCCTCCTTTATTTCAAGGGTGACAGGAAAGACACATTTAGAATCCTCAGCCTTCTGCTCCTGACCTTTAAAAATATAAAATTTTTATTAATGTAGTGGTTTCATTAGAATTCCTTGATCAACTTAGAGGTTACAGGGAAGTGAATCTTTGTAATTTTGTTTTGCATCTTCTTGGGGAGGGGCTAGGGGAAGGGAAGGAAGTGAGGACATCCCTATTGGCACTTGTAAACAGAATCCTGTTTCACTAAAGATGAGTAATTGGGAAAGCAGTTGGGGAAGAAGTGATTAGCTTAGTGTTTGGGAAAGGATATCTGTATGATCTTGGGAAAGTCACTTAATTTCTCTGGGCCTCACTTTTCTCACCTGTAAAATAAAAAGGTTAACCTAGATGATCTCTAGCTTGCTTCCAGCCCTAAATCTGCTATTTTTTGATCAGCTTGGGCTGCTATGGTTTGGAGCTATCCTTTCACATTGGGCCTGTATTAAAGGAGCCTTGAATGCAGAGTCAACCTTATCTCCCTTTTTGGAGGTCAGACCAGAAAGCAAAATAGCTAAGAGAAGACCTAGTCCTGGGGCACAGCAGAATTCCTCCTTCTCTGAAAAGATCTAACTTTGTAACCCCCTCTTTTTATAGAACCAAGATGACAGGTCAGCTCTAATCCATGAAGTCACAAGTCAATTAATAGACAAGATGATGATAGAATTAGCACTGGAAGGGATCTTGGAGATCACAGTCCAACCTCCTAATATTGTAGATAAGGAAATCAAGGTTCATCATAAAATGGATTTGCCCAGGGTCCTGTGGCTGGTACGTTTTTGAGGCGGGATTCTAATCTAGGTCTTCCTGACTGCAAGTCTGGCTCTGTATAACACTGTCTCTTAAAACCTAGGGGAGGGGCAGGTAGGTAGATCAGCAGATAGAACACTGGCCCTGGAGTCAGGAGGACTTGAGTTCAAATCTGAATTCAGGTACTTTTTAGCTGTGTGACCCTGGGCAAGTCACTTAACCTCAGTTGCCTCCAAAAATAAAAATAAAGCCTAGGGCACCCATTATTCACAAGGGGTCTCTGATACAAGTACTAACTAGTCCCAACCCTCCATAGTTACCAAGATCAGAACTTGGGCTAAGAGAAGGTTCAAGGGGAACCCAAGAGTTGTATTGGAGCATTTGAAAAATTGTTAGGTAGAAGACAAATTAGATTTGTTCTCTTTGACCCCCAGGAAAAACAGGTGCAATTGCAAAGAATCAAATTCAGCTTTACTCTAAGAAAAAAATAATCCAAACTGTCAGAGCTATCTAAGAATGAAATGGCTGGCCTCCTGTCGTGGGCTCCTCCTCACTGGCTATCTTTAACCAGAGGCTGGATTACCATTTGTTGCAGGGGTTCTGGGGAAGAATTTTTTAAAGTCTGAGTTGGACTTAATAGGCATTTTAATCCTGAAATTCTGTGATTCCTGGAATACCTTACATTCCCTGGAGTACCTACAGACAAGTCTCCAACCTTATGTATAGAACATACAGGGAGACACAGAACTCACACAGAGAGTGTAACCAGTGCTGGTTCAGCGAGGCCGGGGCTCTCTCTCTTACTAAGGGGACCCTAGCTCTAGACTCAACTGCAGATTGTGTTCAGTCTTGGGGGAACTTCTTCACGAGGGCTGAAGGTCTTTTCTCATACTCTGGCCCTTTATACCTCACCCCAGGGCCCCAGAGTGTAGGTGTCACTTATGTACAAAGTCTATAGGATAGCTATTTATTTTTTCCACTCAAAAGAAATGCACAAAACACAAAAGATTCATAAGCAGGCATTGACTAAGACTTAAAACATGATACAACAATCCTTAGGTCTTATTATACTCTTCCAGGAGTTTGATACTTAAAACATTAAAATAGGAGACTGCTGAGTAGCTTTTCATTTTCAATTCAACTGGATGTGGAGTCAGGAAAACTCATCTTCCTGAATTCAAATCTGGCTGCAGACATTTACTAGCTGTGTGACGCTAAACAAGTCATTTAATCCTGTTTGCCTCAGTTTCCTCATCTGTAAAAGGAGCTGGAGAAGGAAATGGCAAGCCACTCCAGTATCTCTGCCAAGAAAAACCTTAATGGGGTCACAAAGAGCTGACTTTGTGAAAAACTGAATGACTTTACAATTTACTAATAAGGGCTCACCCCTCTCCACTCTATTTCATCATAGCTGTTTGTCCTTCAGTTCTCAGAGGACCATGACATCAGAAGGTGATGTCATGACTTGCAAGTAAATTGGATTTAAGTGAGGCAGAGCTGTGCAAAGTCACCAGCCTCACTTTCTCCTCCGAAGCTGCCTGGGACCAGTGGCCAGATGTAGATCAGGACGACTGGAGCTGGCCCTGGATGCACTCTGTTTTAGCTTCTGCTGGAAGAGATGGTATTAATTGACTGAGGAAATCAAAATGACTTAATAAAACATAGTGTAATACTGGCCTGGGATTTAGAAGAATTTTCTAGTTTGGGTTCTAACCCAAATTCTTACGATAAGCATGCAGATAGAGGAATTCTCTAGGGCTGAGTACTAGAGATGAGCTTTAGAGGCTCCACCCATATCTAGTAAGGCAATAGCAGGTACTTAAGCCATTTTTGCATTTCTTTTAGTGCTAACTACCAGTGAGACTAGCTCAGTCTTTGTGGTAGTTATAGTGTGAAAAGAGGGGGGGTGTGAAGAGGGAGAGCGGAAATGTAAACAGCAGATAAGGTTCCTAGAAGAGACAGAGGATTATCTGTGGTGGCTTAAGTTTTTCCTATCTAGTCTCACTTGTAATTTTGTGTGGTCTGGGCTGCTTGTACCCTCAGGGAAGGCCGTCACTCAGGGGTTTTAAGTAATGTACCTTTGGAAAGGACTGAACCTTTAAGGTACTACCCTCTCATACAGAGTAATTTGTGACTGAATTAAATTCACTCAGAGTTCCAAGAGAAATAGTTACTCTGACTCAGAGTTCTAAGACAGGTGTTGCTTACTTTGAATGCGGCAGGCTATTAAATACTTCAGCTAATGGAGGAAGTGTACTTCAATGGTTTATATATGAAAAATATAGAACAAATGTAATTTACCTGATCATACACAGATGAGAATTTGATTACCAGTCTTAAAGTAAGGTGGGGTTATTCATAGAGAGGACCAGAATCAGAACCTAGAAAGATAAGAGGTAAAAAGACAGATTTCAGAACTTCAGTCAGCTAAGCCTGAAGCTGGAAGTGATGAATACTATAGTTGCTGTTGAGGAATAGGTTGAGCAGAACTAAAGAACATCTTGGAGGCAGAAAATAAAAGAAGTGACCTGTGTGTTCTTTTCTTAAGATTGGAGACTTGTCTGTATGTGCCCCAGGGAATATAGGATATCCCAGAGGTGACTCAGCAATTTAACTAGTTCGGCTGATATATCCTGTCCAATGAGATTTTGGTCTTAATACAGCATGAATCAACTCATCTTAGCACCACACAAAAGCTACACTCATCAAGAAATTTTTATTTACAATCCCTTAGGCAGAAAGAAGACAACGAAGTTTACCATCCCAGAGTTGTGAGTTGACTTCAGCATTACTTTAGCACATGAATTTTCTTTACTCAGGAACATCCTTGTATGGGGATGTCCCAGTGAAGACTTCTCATTGTAATTAAGGTTTGGAACAAGACTATCCTAAATCTGGTAATAAGTTCAGGAGGTAGGATAGGGTTAAGTATAGATTTCTGTAAGTTTCTTTTTTAGTGCCATATATCAGTAGTTAAAATTTGTCTAGTTGTTAAGCCTTAGCCTACCTTTTAATCTTATTCAGACGTGCCTTTGCCCCTCGCCCTAAAAGAATCTGGCTCCGGAAAACCCTTAGAAGGTTCCTTATCTACTCCCCTTATCTCCCTTTGAAAGGACCTTACTTAGATGCCTTCCAGTTCCCTCCATCATCTATTCCCATTGTCTATTCAATCTCTCAGACCTTCCAAAACAGTTGTAAGCTATCTTTCTGCCATAGTGGCCTGGCTCCACAGTACAAAGTCTAGCTTGACTGCACATTTTTAATTGCTTCTTTGACATTATATTAACAAACTAAGAAATATAGAGATGTATGCTATTTCCTTTGTTCTACGGTAGAATCTCTCGTGTGAAATTGTGAGCCAAGTTAACGGACAGTTAGTGGGAGGGGGAGTTTCCCCGTTAGTGCTATTTAACCTGGCTTTCTGCTTCTGTGTCTTTGTCTCCCCTCATCAGATTATACTGGTGGAAGGACACCCAAATCTCAAGATTTGAAATAATAATAATAATAAAGTAACTTTCTGTTTCTCCTTGGATGCCTCTGTGTTTTGTTTTTTTTTAATTTGAGTGGCATCCCACACACTTGTCAGGTCTCTGTAAGTGTACACTATCCCCTACAGTTAATGAGTATTGGTGGGAGACTAAGCTCCATGTTTGTATGGATTATGATGTATTTTATTATTTCTTCATTTGCTTTACTCTATACCTTTGATCTTATTTTTATTTCTTTTGTCTTATTGTTAAGTAAATGGTTACATATAGTATCTAAAAGTGTCATTATTTTGGGTAGTTGGTTTTGTGTAAATGGAAATACAACAGTAGAGCTCAAAAGCTGAAGTGGTGGTAAGAGGAGCATTTCCCCCACAACAGGGTTAGTCCTAGCATGCTGAGACAGTGTCTCCACTGATGTGTTTCCACTTACACAAAACCAATTACTCAAATGTGGTAGTCCTTCTCTGGGAACCTAGAGTAGGTTAGATAAGATAGCCCAAGAATGAATGGGTAGCTTATGTTCCTATGCAAGGGGTGACATTATGTTGGCTCACACTAGGCACACAACACACACATTGCATTTTGTTTCCCTAGGAGTCTTGTATGATCCCATCAGATCCTATTCTGCTTGGGATCCAGGACTCTGAGGATATCCAAGAAGGGACCAAATCAGTGCTGATGTGTGCTGTAGGTTTAACCTGAGGGCAATGCATCTTATCTATCACAACTGTATTCAAATCCCACACCACCCCCATTACTGAGAAATATTGCCTACAGCTGGCCATCTTTGTGACAGGCCATGGTTTTACATGTGTGACTATGGACAAATCATTTAATCAGCTTTTTAATCCTATTGAAATGAAGGTGAGAACACTTGTCCTACCCAGCTCATAAAGTTGTTATAAGTTTCAATGAGATCATAGGATTATCGATTTGTGCTGGAAGGGACCTTAAATATCCTGTAATCCAATCTCCTCACTTATAGATGAGGACACTAAAGCCCAGAGCAGTTAAATATAAGGTAATACAGCTAGTAAAGCAATAGAGCTGGGATTGGAACCCAGGTTCTCTGACTTCAAACTCAGCCCTCTTCTCACAGCATTAGAAAATAAACTAAATGAAAGTAACTTAACTGCGAAGAGCTATTGTTATTCCAAGCACAACTGTATTGCTGGCAAGCAGAGCTGGCCAGGCTATCAATCACTGAGCATTCCTGAGAGCTCCCTTCCCACTTCCTTTGCATGGGCAGAGTTTCCCCAGCAACTCACTCCCTTCTGGGCTGTGGCTTTCCTTTCAAACCTCACACTTTGCCACCAGGGGTGTTTTCCTGGGGTTGGGAGGTCTCTTTCCTTTTCAGAAGCACTCAGATCAATCTAATAAACTCATCTCTGTTGAATGTCTAACTCTGAACCTCCACTTGATCCAATATCTTGTCTCTAAAACAGAGAATACATTCTCCTCCTCTAATATACATGAGCCTTAAATAAAAATACAGCAGTTTGTATTTATTTTGATCAGCAGTTTTATCACATAAGTGAGTTAGAAGTAAACATGCATATTTAGAAAAAGGCTAATGCTTCTCAAGCTCAGAGGGAAACAAGGAGTCAATCAATTAACCAATCAACTAAATATTTATAACATGCCTACAAGGTACTAAAAGAGTGGGGCTGCAAAGGCCAAAAAAAAAAAGCATTTATTAAGTGCCTGCTACGTGCCAGATACTGCTAAGCAGTTTATAAAATATTTCATTTGATCCTCACAACTCTAGGAGGTAGGTGCTCTTATTATCCCCATTTTACAGTTGAGGAGACTGAAGTTAAGTGACTTGTCCAGGGTCACACAACTAGAAAATATCTGCGGTCATGTCTGAACTCAGATCTTCCAGATTTTAGGTGCACTGTTCAATCAATCCATTGTGCCATTTTTACAAAAGTAAACAGTGCCTATAGCTAAGGAGCTTCCATTCTAATGAAGAAGACCACATGTATAGAGAGAGGCGTATCTAAGACATATACAAGTCCGATATCCTCAGAGAGGAAGTAACTAGCAGCTGCGGAGGGATTGGGAAAAGCCCCCCAAAGTAGGGGGCCCTTGAGATAAATCCTGAAGGAAACCAGGAAATGCAGGAGGCAGGAGGATTTCAGGCATGGGGGGATATCCCATATTGCTACAGAGGCAGAGGAGGGAGCATTGTGTGAGACAAACAGAAAGTAAACCAATATGATGGGATCTTAGTGACTAGGAAGATAAGAAGGGTCCAAGCTGTGAAGAACTTAATGTCCGAAACAGAAGAGTTTATATATGATCCTAGAGGTCATAGGGAGTCATGGCATCTATTAATGGGGGAGAATGGGACATAGTAATAACAATGATAATTCTAGTCATAATAGCTGCTAGCATTTATATAGCACTTCCAGGTTGGCAGAGCGTTTTACATATGTTATCTCATTTAATACTCACAAAAACCCTGTAAGGTACATATTATACTGTCCCCATTTGATAGATAAGAAAACTGAGGCCAGAAGGCTGGGATTCTGACTTGCCCAAGATAACACAGCTAATAGGTATCTGAAGCAGAGTTTGAATTTCAGGTCTTCCTCATTTCAGGCCCCATGCTCTATCCACTATACCCCTATGTGGTGGTTAATTAATAATAATAACTGAGGAAACCATCCAAGCAAGAGGACAATATATGGGTCAGTGCACTCCCCAGCCACTTCAAATACCCTGAATATAGAATGAGATAGATTTTTATGAATCAAAAACAATTAATCAAATAAACCAGTTAATTATAAGAAAACAATTAACTAGGATACAAACCAAGTTACAAAATTAGCTAATCTGATTTCTAATTGGAGGAAAGATTTGGGGCTTTCTAAGTTGGGAGGGGGAAAGTGTAAATTTCTGTAGAAATGGGAAACAACAAGTAGGTTTCATATCTTTTAGTCTCAGAATGGACAGATGCTGATTAATTGCATCCACCTGCATTTGTGAAAGAGTAGATGAAGCCATCTAGTTTCCCATGGATGATTTACAGAAGAACAACAAGATGGAGGAGAATCTAGGTGGCAGCACAAGATGGAATCAGTATTCACGAGTTGGAATCTGATTGGCTCTCTTGACTCCCACACCAAACCAACTCCATTTTGCAGCTGCCCTTCACTCTATTTCATCCCTTACCTGCCTGATACAGTCACACCCATACTTTAGGAAAAACTACTTTGCTGGCTATGTGAAGAAATGCATTAAGTTAAGAAGAAATGCATTGAAGTGGGAGGAGGCTTAAGCCAGGGAAACCAATTCGGAGGTTATTGCAATAGACCAGGCAAGAGGTGATTAGGGCCTGAACTAGGATGGCAGCTTTGTGAGTGGAACAAAGAGGATATATGTGAGAAGGGTTGTGGAGATAGAAATAACAAGTTATGGCAACTGATTGGAAATGTCAAGTGAAGGAGTCAATGGGGACACTGAGGTTGTAAACCTGTGTGTTTGGAAGGATGGTGGTGCCCTTGACAGCAGTGAGGAAGTTTGTAAGGGGGTGTACCTGGGTAAGCCACAATGCATTCAGAAGAGAGAAGAGTATGTGTGTCACCAACTCTTTTCCCTACCTGAGCACCGTTGACAGTGTAGACTTCATCCAGGACATGGGGTGGGTTTGGATCATCATTTCAGCTCTATCAGGAAATTCCACAGCCACTAACTGTGACTTAATCTCTGACATCTTCCCTCCATCACTATCTCTCCAGCCTGTTTGCTTGCAATGGGATCTTGCTGCTTCAGCTTATGCTGGCTTCTTCCTTCCCACCCACAAGCCCATTTTGTCTGGGGATCCCA